CTGCCCTAATACTAGTGGCCCTCTTAACTCTTCCCTGTCCGCATCTTATCCGAATAGATGCGATATAGAGGAATGTTTGTATTTTCCGATGTCTTATTCTCTACTGTGGACTTATTTGAAACAATGAGCAGGGATAGTTTTAAAATATGCCACAGCATCTTAGTCTGATTCGTATTTAGTCTGATTCACATAGTATAAAGGCTTTTGCTATCTGTTGATTTTTTTTGTATGAATAATTAAATAGCACGTACTGTATGCCAGCCAGGTACTGTTCTAAGCCCTTTCCAAATATTTACTTCTCATAACGCTATGAAGTAGGCACTATTATTATGTAGACTGTACCTTCCCTTCTTTAACATCCAAGAAGTAAGTAACATCCAAGAAGTAGCATACAGCTGATAAAGGGTGTAGTCAGGATTCAAATCCAGGCAGTTTGGCCCCAAAGCCCATTTTCTTAAAACCTTTGCAATGCTGACTCCACTCTCTGTTTCTGTATTAGCTTTACAGCCGCAACCCAGGAGGTTACTTTTCTCATTTGAATCCAGTCTTTCTTTTGGACCTCAGTAGTCCTGGGCTTCTAATAGGATGTAAGATTGAAGAGGAGTATGTAGCTGAAGACATGTACATCTGTCAATGTGTCTGCAAACCTGATGAAACAGCCATTCTGTTTGTTTGTGTGCATGTATTTACCCACTCGCCTACCCATATTGTTCTTTGGGCAATAGAAAAGATTACAGTCCTGGCCCTAAGAGAAGGTAGCGACTATTGATTAAGCCACCATTATACCAAAATTGTACATTATCTCATTAAAAGGTTAATGTGCATGTTTATGTGCCATGCTTTGTGCAAAACTACTTTATATGCATTATCTCATTTAATATTCTCAACAACTTTGCAAGGTAGTTTTTTTGTTTGTTTGTTTGTTTTTTGAGACAGAGTCTTGCTCTGTTGCCCAGGCTAGAGTGCCACGGTGTCAGACTAGCTCACAGCAACCTCAAACTCCTGGGCACAAGTGATCCTCCTGCCTCAGCCTCCCAAGTAGCTGGGACTACAGGTGCACACCATGACACCAGGCTAATTTTCTATTTTTAGTAGAGATGGGGTCTTGCTCTTGCTCAGGCTGGTCTCAAACTCCTGACCTCAAGTGATCCTCCTGCCCTGGCCTCCCAGAGTGCTAGCATTAGGCGTGGCTGCAAGGTAGTTTTTGTCTTCATTTCATACATGAGCTTGAAGCTTGGAAAAATCAATCAAGTCACTTGCCTAAGATCACTTTGTTAGTAAGTCAGAATTCACAGATCTGCTTGTCTGGGTTCTCTGCCACCTCATACTACCTTCTTCTTATTTCAGATAAATAGAAAAAATATGGGCTTTTTATCATCTCTGTGTATTTGTGTGCATGTATGTGTATGATTGCAAATGCACAGAAAATGAAAGGATACATTCCAGTCTTCAATACAGTATTCTGGGAGTAGAGCTTGGTGAAGGACTTCTATATTCCTCTGTACTTTTGGGACTTAAAAAAAAAATAGTTGTAAAGAAAAATAACAGTACAAGATTGTAAGTGAGGGTAAAGGTAAGGCTTATATAGTATATGACATAAGAGCTGGCAGGAGGAAGAGGGCAAGCTGAAACAGATGAAGAGGACTTCAGAAAGGATGTGAAATTTGAATCAAGCTGCAGAGATTGGGTAGGGTTTGAGTAAAGGCAGAAGGCAAGAGCAAGGACGTGGCACAAGAATGAGAGAAGCATGATTAAAGAATAGTGAGAAGAAAAGCCTGAATAGACCTGAAAGTTTTTGCATGTGGAATAGAGGAAAGCAATAGTGAAGCCAGTGGAAGCTAGAGTTCTGACTGGTCTTAAGCCAGGCTTGAGTGTTTGGAAATTTATTCAGTAAGTGGAGAGCCATAGATGGTAACAGCAGAGGTAAGTGTAGGGGGATGTATTGTGATAAAGGCACATTTGTATTGTGTGTTGCTTAGTCTTCTCTGACATGCATATTCTTGGTAAAGAGCACTTCTCCACGAGAACAATGGTAGATTTAGGGTGTTAAGCTTGCTGAAGCTCTAGGAGAAACCAACTTTAAAATGCAGATGTATTTTTTTAAGGTAGAGGAGATTATTATGCTAATTATATAGCTGGCATAAACATTAAGGCTGCGATGCTGAATGGCAGATTAGTAGCTACATTTGTGACCAGGGGGACAGGATTGTGAAAAAATTGGGAAGCAATCTTCAAAGAAGAACTAAGATGTGCTGGTACAAGGATCTGGGTATTTGGGCTACCAGATAAAAGCAAAATCAGGTGAAGGAAAGCAAAAAACAAACAAACAAACAAAAATGAAACCCAGTATATACAGAGAATAAAGGGAAATTGATTTTCATGAAACTGAGTAAAGATTTGAACCAACACATACCAGAAAATGTCTAACAACACATACCTGAAATGATCTTCTATGGGAAGAGCTCAGAGCTTCAGCTGCATTGTCTGTGAATGGAAAAACTTTGACTTGAAACCAAGTGGAACAGGTGGCAAATAGGGAAAAAACATTTTGTAGAAGCTTGAAAGATTGGAAAGAAGAAAAAAAAAAAAAAAAAAAGAAAGTGTGAGTGGCTGTTTAATCCTTTGAACCCAGGATGGGTTTATTGAGTAATGTGAGAGCACATATTCTGAATTTACCTGTTTGATATTTGTACCCCAAAACTTTCTCACCCTAGAACAAATTCAACAGACCATGTTTCAAGCCATCATTATTTCTCCCTGGATTATTGTTATAACTTCTCTTCCTGCTTCCACTTTTTCTCATTGTCATTAACACAGCAACCAGGGTTATGCTTTTATATTAAATGTAAGTAAAATTTTGTCACCCCTCTCCTCAAAACCTCCAATGGCTTTCCACATTTCAGAGCACAAACCAGAGCCCATACAACAGCCTTTCTCATCTGCTCCCAAGCTCCTTGCTTTATCTGCTATCACTTTCCCTTTTGCTTTCTTTGTTCCAGACATGTTGTTCAATTAGCTGTTCCTTGAAGACTACAGACACGCTCCCACCTGCAAGGATTTTCACTTGCTGTTTGCATGGAACAATCTTTCTACAGATAGCCATATGACTTGCTTCTTACTTCCTTCAGGTCTGCTCAACTATTACCTTACCAACAAGGCCTTCCCTGACTACATAAAATAGCAACCTTTCTTCCCCCTTACTCCCTATCTCCTTTACCTTTATTTTCTCTATGGCATTTATCACCACTTGTCCCCACTCCTCATTCTGTCTCCTCATTCCCCAAATACAGGTAATAATTTATATTTATATATTTATATTTATATATTAATGATATATGTATTATATATATATTAAATTTGTGGAGAGGATTATGTTGCAGGTTACCCAGAAGAATGTTGTCCTACCCTAGTAGTTTTTTCCCCTTTGATAAATATAACCAATAGTGACAATATGAATCTAACTTTTCTTCTAATTGTAATGTGATCAGTGTTCACTTAAGATTTAAATACCCTATTCTTATTTAATTTCATGATGCATGTCAACACCTGAGATTAGGTTAATATTTGCAGTGAATTACTATAATTTTTCTTAAAACAACATTTTTAATCTACAAGTCATGATTCATTTGTGGGTCATAAAATCTATGTGGTGGGTTGCGACCAGGTTTTGGGGGTTTTTAAAAAATGAAATAGGATTAAAAAAGTAATAGCATGTCACATAAAGTAAGGATACATAGCGTTTTGTGAAATTATCTCAATTATTTGTGTGTGTTTCTCATACACGCACAAATATACACTCATATACATGTGTATGTGTGTTCTGGGTTATAATATAAAATATTTCTTGCTGAGGGTCCTCATCATAACAGTTTGAAAGCCTCTGCCCAAAAGTGGTGATTAGAAATCACTAGGTCACATAATTTTCTTTCAGAATATTGTCTTCATTAATTGCTATCCTAGTTAAGATTGTTTATAAACTTTAAGTGGTCATAGACATTTGTCTCAGCAGTAATTTTATTTTCCATAAAATTGCCTACTCTGTACTCTCAAGATGCTTCAAAGAGAGTTTCCAAGAAATTAAAGAGCAAGAAAAAGCTCAAATCCTATTCCTGTTTTAAAGTATTAGAACTAATATTTCTTTCATTTTAATGTCTTTGAACCAAGACCACTGCAGTCAACTGCTTTTTGATTTTTTGTCTTAATGCTTCGATCACTAGGATATTCATTTAATCTTTCAAGAACATTTATAAGAAAAATAACAACAGTGGTAATTTATAATACTTTAGGGTTTACTAATCTGCCAGCTTCTTTGTGCTCTTTATCCATGATCTCATTTTATCTTTATATCAACCCAGAAAGATAGGCAGTGTTGGCTTTAAGATTTCTGTTTTATAGATTTAGGAGGGTAGGGTGTAAAACTTGAAGCCCAAGACTTTGGAGGGAGTACCTGGAAGATCATGTCTTAATCCTAGACCTTCCACATTTCAAACATAGATCATTTTACTCCACACCTCACCTAACTGGAGGGACTCTGCCTCTCCTCCCAAGTGCATTTGTTAAGTTTCTCGTTATGTCTGTTTGTATACTTTTCCTCTCCCTCCATCTTCCATTTTGTTTCCCTTTTCTCCTTGATTATTAGTGTCATTTGTGACCACTTGGGCCCAAAGTGCTTGTTTACCTTCACTGAACTAAAAACTTACTATAAATGTAGTATCTTGCCATTCAAATGGAGACCTAGTATACTCAAGCTGATTTGAGCTATTTCATTCAGGATGATCAAAATGGTCCCTTCCTTCAATAAACTGCAAGTTTTTTTGTTTCATTTCTGTTTTCCTTCCCATTTTACCTACATCAGTATTTGGATAGTCCTCATCATTAACAAGCATTCAATATTCTTCATGAGAGAAAGTGACTGATTTTAGTATAAATACTCCCAGTCTCTCCTGTCATGAGGTTTTCCACATTTTAATATATTTTTTTCTCTGCAAATTATTTTTTAGATCTCAGAGTTTCCAGAAGAAAAGATCAAGGAGGAATTATCAAGAATAGATTCTTTTTCTGAATGGCCACAACCTTGGCCCTTCAGACTGCAGAGATGCAGGAGGGTTCTCTGACAGCAAAGGTAAAGGAAGAAGAAGAGGACCATTCATGTGGGCCAGAATCAGGCCTGTCAAGAAATAACTCTCATACCACAGAGATCTTTCGTAGACGCTTCAGGCAGTTCTGTTATCAAGAGACTGCTGGGCCCCGGGAGGCTCTTCGAAGACTCCGAGAGCTCTGCCATCAGTGGCTGAGACCAGAGATGCACACTAAGGAGCAGATCCTGGAGCTCCTGGTACTGGAGCAGTTCCTGACCATCTTGCCTGAGGAGCTCCAGGCCTGGGTGAGAGAGCACCACCCTGTGAGTGGAGAGGAGGCAGTGACTGTGCTGGAGGATTTGGAGCAAGAGCTGGACGAGCCAGGAGAACAGGTGGGAAAATGGAAGAATAGGGGTTTCTATAGGAACAAGAATGGGGTTTCAGTGCAATAAGAGGAAGAGGAGGAGGAGGATTTTTTATGCCAGATTTGATCTGTTGTAGGCTTTTAATCTCTCTGCCTCTGTTTTTTCTTTGCTGACTTCTTGGTCCTTCTTTTTCTATTCAGTGGCCCTGAGAAGGCCTCCTTGCAATGTCCTTTCTGATATTTGTTTCCCAACTGTCCTTGTTCTACCAGGTCCTGACCCATGCTCATGAGCAGGAAGAGTTCATAAAGGAGAAGGCAAGTCCAGGAGCAGCTCAGGAGTCATCAAGTGGCCAGTTCCAAACCTTGGAGGAGGAGCTTCCATGTAATTTGCAAGAGGTGTGCCCGGTTCAGGAGATTGGTGAGGATTAGAATTTCCTCAGGGAGCCTACCTCATTCCCTGAATGTTTATCAAGTTCAACACATTTTCTTAGTGTCTGTTATATGCCAGGCACTGTGCCAGGTACTAGGGATACAGTGATGAACAAGGTAGACATGGTCCCTTATCTCACACAGTTTACAATCTGGTGGGAGAGGCAGACAATTAAACAAGCAGTTATGATACAGGACATCTTTCTGAGTCTGGGTATAGTTGTTTTAGAGTGGGAAAATAAACAGAAAAAGTGGCTGCTTGTCCCCTTCCACCCACTCTCATGGCCACTTTTTTTTCTGTTGTTATGAATATTATCTTTCATATTTCATGTTATCTTTCATTTATCATTATTTCAGATGGTGAAGCTAGGACTTGGAATGTGGAGTTAGCCCCAAAGAGGGATATTTCTAAGGAAATAAAATCTCTCATACAAGTTTCTGGAAAATTGAATGGTGATATTACTCAGATGCCTGAATGTGGAGACACCTCTGACCATGAGGGCAGATTGGAAAGGCAACGGGGAAGCTCTTCAGCAGACAGACCCTATATCTGTGGCGAATGTGGAAAAAGCTTCACCCAGAATTCTATCCTTATCGAGCACCAAAGAACGCACACGGGTGAGAAGCCCTATGAATGTGATGAATGTGGGAGAGCCTTCAGCCAGCGGTCAGGCTTATTCCAGCACCAGAGACTCCACACTGGGGAGAAGCGCTACCAGTGCAGCATTTGTGGCAAAGCCTTTAGCCAGAACGCCGGGCTTTTCCATCACCTCAGAATCCACACTGGGGAAAAACCTTACCAATGTAATCAGTGCAATAAGAGTTTTAGTCGACGTTCCGTCCTCATTAAACATCACAGAATTCACACTGGAGAGAGACCTTATGAATGTGAAGAATGTGGCAAGAACTTCATTTACCATTGCAACCTCATCCAGCATCGGAAAGTCCACCCTATGGCTGAATCGAGCTAACACCTTGGAACAGGTAGGGCAAAATTTCCTGACATCAGACCACTAAGCAAGGTAGCAAGGATATTATTTCGTACTTTGTTCCTGAGAGAACAATAATAGTTTAATCCTTTAACATAGAAAGTTCCAGGGAAAACCAGGAAATGCTCTTATTTATATGCTGAGAGAAGCATTATATCTTAAATACATCTGTCAAATTCTCTGTGGTCAGTGATAACCACAGCTTTGCAATACTGAATATGGCTTCTTGTGTTGACTTCCTTTTATATGCTGTACACCTAATCTCACACACACCAGTGAAAAAAGTTTTCTAGAGTATTTCAGGAAAACTTTTTCATTCTAGTTTTTAAAAACTTTTTTAAAAAGTTTAAAAATAAGCTGGGCATAATGGCTCATGCCTATAATCCCAGCACTTTGGGAGGAAGAGATGGGAGAGGATTTCTTGAGGCCAGGAGTTCGAGACCAGCCTGGGCCACATAGTGAGATCCTGTCTCTAAAAAAAAAACCAGTTTAATTGTATGCAGCCTGAGAACAAAATAATGTCAAAGGCAATTCACTGAATATGTAAAAATTAATTTAAAAATAATTGTAGTAAAATTGATAATGTAAACCACCTGACTTCTTTCCATTCACATAAGATATGATAATTTGCTTTTTAACCTACAAAAGCGGGCAAATGAACCTTCCCATGTAAATGAACAAAAACCTTCTCCCTATAGATTTTTAGTAATTTAGCCTTCAGTCAGGAACCAAGGAATTGAAACAGCCATATGATATTAGCAGCTCAGTAGCTAGTCATAACAAATACTGCTCATGATTTTAAATTTGTGCAGAGGCCAAGAAATTTAGCTAAAAATCTGCTATCTCACTTCAGATCTTTGTTTTGAAAATATAGGGCTCTTTATATTTTTCCCATAACATAGAATGACCATTGTCAGTTTTTACCTTTTTTCTTCTTTCTTTAATTTTTTGTATAGAAAATTTCAAACATATACAAGAGTAAAGAGAAGAATATGATCAGTCTTTTGTGTTGATTGTGAACCTCCACACTTCTTGGCATTCACTATTGATTGCTATTAATACCAATGCCATACATACAAAAATTTCTTTCCCTTAACACTGATTAACTCTTCAAACAGCTTTATACTAGGCTCAGGAGGCAAAGAAATGGAAACCGTTTAGTGATAACAATCTGGTTTGGAAGACTCAATACACAGAGGGTAACTTAAGAATAATAGAGGCCGGGAGCAGTGGCTCACGCCTGTAATCCTAGCACTCTGGGAGGCCGAGGCGGGCGGATTGTTTGAGCTCAGAAGTTCGAGACCAGCCTGAGCAAGAGCGAGACCCCCATCTCTACTAAAAATAGAAAGAAATTAATCGGACAGCTAAAAATATATAGAAAAAATTAACTGGGCATGGTGGCACACGCCTGTAGTCCCAGCTACTCGGGAGGCTGAGGCAGTAGGATCGCTTGAGCCCAGGAGTTTGAGGTTGCTGTGAGCTAGGCTAACGTCACGGCACTGTAGCCCGCCGGGGTAACAGATTGTTACCCTGTCACAAAAAAAAAAAAAAAAAAAAGAATAATAGAATCACTGTAAGGGACCTTAGATATCACTTCTGGCTGCCCTTATTTGCTAGATAGGGCAAAGGAGTTTCTGGGAAATAACCAAGATCGTACAGCCATGTAATAGCAGAGCTGTGACTATTAATAGAACCCTGTCCCTTAATTCTTAGTGCAATGCTCTTTCTGCTAAGCTGCTGGAAGAATATATCACCAAATAGAAATTACAAGTATATGGAACTTAAAGAATTTATAAGTCACTGAGATTTTGCTATATATGTTTCAATAAATGCACAACTCCTCCATTTAATCTACAGTGGAGTCCAGGAAAGACTCTCCTCACTTATTCTTCATTGGAAGCATTTTATTTATTTTTGTAGTGATCATTTATTTTTAACTTTTAAAATTTAATTTACTTAGTAGGGCTTTTTTAAAAAGATCATTCTTTACCTGGTTCAAAAATCAAAACAATATATAAAGGTTCCCTTCTTTCCCCTTATAGGTAGCCATTTTACTAGTTTCTTATGTATCTTTCAGTGTTTCTTTATGTAAATATAAGAAAATATACCCCAGGTGCCCTGGCTAATGCTTGTAATTCCAGCACTTTGGGAGGCTGAGGTGGGAGGATCAAGTAAGCCCAGGAGTTTGAAGTTACAGTGAGGAGCTATGATCACACCACTGTACTTCAGCCTGGGGGACAGAGTGAGACCCTGTCTCTTAAAAAAAAAAAAAAGAAAGAAAGAAAGAAAAAATCACTATATAATCTCATTTCCTCCATTACACAGAAAGATGGTGTATTGTTTATACTCTGTACATCTTGTTTTCATGAAAGCATATAATCTTTAGAAATTTCCACATGATACAGAAAGAAATTCCTTATTCTTTATACAGATGAATAGTATTTCATTTGTTGGTGCTCCATTTATTTAACAAACTACTATAGATGAAAAATCACATTTTATAATGTTATACATTCTGTTTCATTCTTCTCCCCAGTTTAGTTGAAGTCAAGTCCTTTTCATTTAAAAGCTAACAGCTTTCACATGAGTTAGGAAACAAAGTATGGGCAACTAGAATTGCACATGATTCTTCTATAGAGAAATGGAGAAGTGATAAGTAGTGTTTTTCAGTGTAGTGTATTAGTTTCTATCATATATTCCTATAGCTAACATATTAAACTGTTTGTATAACTACTTGTGGCTAATTGTGTGTATTATCAAAAATCTGAAATTTCCTCAAGAGTATTTTTTATTGTGTCTTGAAGTTAAATTATTTCCAAGAGAAATACATATGGATTTTAGAGTGATGTTAAGGAAAATATAGTAGAATTAACTTTGAAGTAAAATTAACTTCCCAAGTAAATATATATTCCATAAAATGATGTAAGCATATACTATAATATTCTGAGTTCATAAGTATCTTAAATGCCTTTTCATATGTTGAAACAACATGTTTGGATAATTCCATTACATCAGGACTTAAAAAGATTTAAAATATGAACAGATCAGGCTTTTAAAGGATGTATTTCTAATGGAGTGAGTTTTTATATCTGAAACTTAACATTGGCTGTTTGGTTTGTTTTGTGCTTGTTTTTTTATAGCTTCTCAAAAATTCTCATTTTTCTCAACAACTGATAAAAATACTAAGAAACAGAAGTTATTACATATGCTGTAGAGAAAATGTACTACTTAGAATGCAATGATGCTTAACATGATTAAAATGACAGTTTACCAAACTAACTCCCCTTGTTTTCTGATACTGTGCTGATTCTCTTATCTAGGATGTACATTTCCTCATTAGTTGAGAAATAATATTTGACTTAACTAATAGATAATGGCATGTAAACCTTGGCTGCTTCTATAACTATTTCAGTCCTTCCTGGCTAGAAGTCCTTAGTTGTCTCCCTTTCACATTTTTAAATTTCCCTCATTCTCTCCTCTTTTTTTCTATCCTGGCTCGTTTTATGCAACCCACGAAGTTGCTCTCTCCTTTGCACTCCTTTCAGGTTCCCTGGACCAGCATCCTCCCCTTCTTATCAGTATCCACCCCTTCTTATCCTCTTAAAAATTCTAGTTTGAAAGAGCAAAAGTGGTCATAGTTCTACAGCTGAGCAACGTGTAAGAAATTTCAATTCAAATCCAATTAAATAACCATATTGGTTCTTGAGGATAGCCCAGAACTCATTTGAGCACTGTGCAGGACAGTGGATACTACATCAGGAATGGCTGAGAATCTTGCAACCAAATCTGCCTAGAGCTGTAGATAGAGCCCTGAAGACTCTGTATCACTATAATTTTGATTAAATCAGGATTCTAGGAGTATCAAGTCTCTTTCTATATTTTATATTTGGAAATAACTCCTATTTTCTATATCTGATGATACTTTTCCTTTAAAAAACATAATTATAATTTATAGTGGATGATTGTTTCATATTTTTTTACAAAAGACAAAAATTATCTCTGAGGAGATTTTAAAATAAAGGTCTATCTAAAGTCAAAGTTATTATAAAATATGAAATATTTTCTGTGGAGAAATTTTGAAATACAAAATATATACCAGTATACCTTTGTCATTGGTTAAATGTTGAGCTAGTAATTGAGGGTAAGAAGACTCTCTGTAGAGGGAGATGGAGGGTAGAAAAAAGTGTTCTAGGCAGAGGGAACAAGGTGACGCAAAGCCCATCCAAGATATGCTCAAAAACCAGTAGTTTTCCAGTTTTTCTGAATTACAGAGTTACTTCAAGGAGGTACAGGAGTGGGAGATGGTAGGTGGAAGCCAGATTGAGAGAGCCTTGAACACTTTTGGAATGACTTTGATCTTTGTTTGGTAGGAGAATATTAGCTTTAAAAGGAGATTTTTCTGGAGTTTAACCCATTTCATACATACACAAGGAAAGTGAAGCCCAAGGCGCTCAAGTACTCGTAGTGATTTTTCTATTTTTTAATCACATTGAAAATTTTAAAAATAAAACCAACTGTGAACAAAGATTGTTGTGGATTACATGTAGTTTTATAGACACTTAGACTTGGAGCCCTGAGACCCATTTTGGGCATCTGCAAACAACAGCAACAACAAAAATGTGATGGAAAGAGAAAAAGGAAAAACAAAATTTGAGAACATAAATACTCAGAAGGCAAAATTCGATGCTAAAACTCTGGATTGGGCCAAGAAATGGTGACCAAAGAGAAGGAAAAATAAAAATCTAGATGCAGATACAGAGTGTCCCAAGAAACATGCTTTATCTTCATAATAATTATCAGAAATCTCTTCATCTCAATGTGTCCACATTTTTAGGTACTGCTGTCTTAAGCAGTGTAAATAGTCTCACTGTCCTTGACTCCTCATCCTTTTTAGTACTTTCCATAAAAAGGAGAATAGGGAGAAGAGCATAGACTGTAAATCACTGTGATTTTTAGGTAACTTTGAGCCCACCTGCTGCCAACTGTGCAGTGATGAAAGCA